TTGGCCTGGTCATTGGCAAAACAATTTTATGTATGCCTTTCTAAAAACAATACTTAACCACTAAATTTGGCAGTTTTAAGTCACTTTCATTTCAATCTTTCTTGAGTTTTTAATGTATTTTGTCTTCCAGTAAGGCAGGAGAGCAATTAAGTCTAAAGCTCTTGCTTTTGTAATCTGTAACACATCCAAACATTTATTCCCAGCAGGATTTTGAGAAACGTTAAAAAGTTTCAACCACTGTAAATGTTCTTTTAAACCAAGATGAGCAACTTTTTCCAGGCAGAAGTACTTGAGTTTTTATGCAACTAAGTAGCACAGAGTTTCAGTGTGCTGTTTGAAGTCTTTCTGTTCCCCTTTCCTATTTTGAGTTAATATTCTTATAGCAATGGGTCATTGTTTCTTCATCACATTTTTGGATGATACTGTAGCACTCTGCCAGGGTGCCCATGCAGAGCAATCACTGTTCCACTCCCAAAAGGCTGTATGCTACTGTGATGGCTGCATCTTTATCTTCCTAGTAGAATAAAGAGTTTAATACTACCATGGATATGAGTTGAAGGCTCATTGTTTGGCTAGGAAAATGGCAGGGTAATTAAAGAGGTGAGCTCCAGCTCTTAAAAATCACTTTTGATACAATATTGTGAGCTCCAGCTCTTTGTTCTGCTGATTTGCTGCTTCTGAGCAGATGGGACACTCAATGTCCTGAATAAACACTTGCTGGGGAGGAATGTTTAATCACTCTTGTACCTTGAAGCGACAGGTAATTAAAAAGTACTTTAGCTATAACAAAGCTGGGAGCTAATTAAATTTGAATGGCATCCTGAGAGAGAGTGAGGACACAGTTTATGACTGATAATGTTCTTCCAACATGCATATTGATTGTGCAGTAATTACCAGTGTTGACTGATATTTGTGCAAAGCATGTTGTGTAGTGCTGGGATCACGGCTCTCTGGCAAGCCCACCTTGCTGCATTTGCTCAGGCTGGGTTGGAGGAGGGGGAGAGTTGTTTTGCTTTTCTTCTCCCAGCCTCCTGCTCGGTTCCCAGAGTCTTACCACAAAAGTAAGGCTTTTATGGATAAAACAGATTTAGGTGACATCTGTTCTCAAAAAAAAAAAAAAAAAAAGAAGTGTCTGAAGTCGACTTTGTAGGAAATAGCGTAACCTAAGCTCTTGTGCAGCATGACTGTTCTGTTAAATGTGTTCTCCAACAGTGCTTGCAACAGACTGTGACTCTGGCTCCAACTCTGAGATCACTTACTTCATCCAGAGCACTGATTTTTCCATCACACATCACGGGGTCATCAATTCTAACCAGAGGCTGAACTTTGAGCGAGCAAACCATATGTATGAGTTTGTGGTGATAGCTGTTGATAAAGGACATCCCCCCCGGACGGGGACGGCGTCTGTGCGCATCCGGATGGCCAACGTGAACGATGAGGCTCCTGTCTTCTCCCAGTCCATGTAAGCCAGCTTCTTTGCAGATCCTGGTCATGTGTGTAACCCTAACAACACTGGGCTAAATGGACACTTGTTATGTACAACTGTAAATATCGGTGAAATTGAGGGGTAATTTGTATGAAGAAAGGCTTTAGAAGTTGACCCTTCATTTCTAGATTGTATCAATTAAATACACTGGTTATGATACAAGCATATTGACCTTATATTTAGAGAGAGAGAACAGAACGAATAGGAGACTTAACTCTGTGGAGAGTGATTTTCACTGTGTTGACTTCTAGGTCTCAAAGTGATTGTCCATGTATTAAAAGATGACAGATAAAAATGGAAGCTAGCAGACATTAAAACATCATTTTATCATCAGCAGATTGTATTATAAGCTAATTTTGTGAGGCCTTGTTTGTTTAAAATGCCTTCTTTCCTTTCTTGAAGGAAAACAATTTAATTTTTTTTGCATGAGTTTGAATTATGAATGTTTTAAATACAAAAAATAAACACATTATTTTACAAAATTATGTACTAGTTTACATCATCTGTGCAGTATCTGATGCTTTCCATTAGTAAAGATGTAAGAAACACTGCATAACAGATATTAGTCCTGTTTCTCATTTTTAGGAGATAAGTGATCTTGGTTTGCAGTGTAGTACATGTTGACTTTGTAGTATGTTGCATATTGACATATTCTAAAAGATCCTTGGAAATTACATATACAAAAAGAATGCTGGTTTACAATCCTAAAATACAAATGTTATGCAAACAAAGATACTTGAAGTCTTCTCTTAAACTGGTTAGAGATTGCATGATTGCATGTCCAGATCGTAAAGAAAAAAATGACACTTGTAGTGAATTTATAATCATTGGCTGATAGTTAACATGGTGGTGGTTATTCTGATACTGAATGTGCTGCCATTGCTCCCTTGTGTCCATCAGCTACAGAACTTTCCTTTCGGAAGATGCTGGCCCCAGCACTTTGGTGGCTACTGTTCGGGCAAAGGACCCTGACGGAGACGGTCTGCTGTATCTGATTACAGGAGGCAATGAGGAGGGCAACTTTGAGATGGATAGTCAGAAAGGTAAGGAAAGAGGTTTTCTAACACTGTTTTTTACTGTCTAATCTGTATTGACTCTGCTTCACCTGTGTGTCAAAAATTGTAAGAAATCATCGTTTTTATACATTCCGCAAATGGAGATGCATTGTATCAATGAGCATTAACTCTTTGAGATGATGCTCCTTCTCCAAATATCAACGTAAACTTAAGGTCCTGGTCCAAGGACTATGCAGTTTTAAGATGACTGAATCCTATGCTTTGCAACCAAAATACAAACTGAACCAACAACACTGCAGCAAGGTGATGAGATGCTCACTTGATTTTGTTTGTTTGTGTACACAGCAAAATAAAATGACACTTAATGCTTCCAAATTTAGGTATCATTAAACTTCGCAGAAACCCACCACCCAACCTGAAAAGGCCCCAGTACACACTGAACATCACTGCGATAGACAACAATGCCTCGGGGGGACCCACCCCTCTCAGCAGTTTTGCTGAGGTTATTGTAGGAGTTAATGACATTAATAACAACAAGCCTATTTTCAGAGAGGTAAGATGTCTTTCTGCAGATATTCTTTTCCCATCTGTAATTGAGTCTGTAGACTCTCCTTGGCTACTGGTGGTTGCTGGTGGGTTGAAGGGACTGTGTGTGCAGAGCAGAAGAAATCTATAAGTGGATGTACACCCAGCTTTCCTCATAGTTGAAGTGTGAAGTCTTCATTCTTCTTTCCTTCCTCTCCTTTAGGGCTTGATTTCTTTGTGTGTATAAGTAATGGAAATGATTTTCTTCTGCGTTCTTCTCAGATGTGCTGGAAAAATTGTTGACACTGTGCAGCAAATTTATGTGGCTCTGTGTAATATATAGCATTGGATGTTTGGGTGTATTTTTAGTGTGCTTACTACAGTGACAGCACCTGGGTTCTGGAGAATCAGCCTCCAGGCACGTACGTGCTGCAGGTGGAAGCCTATGACGCAGACCTCGGCATTAACGGAGAGGTGAAGTATGGGCTCATGCACCGAGATGGAGCTTCCCTAGGCTTCACCATTGACCCAGATACAGGTCAGTAGCTCCCAGCTTACTGAGATAAAATTAAAAAGGCATTGTATTGTACTGAGAATGTCACTGTATGAGTGTGCCCAACTGGGCTCATGCTTTAATGGTGTAACTTAGCTGTACAGCTTGTGGAATAACCACTGAAAAAATTCAGACTATACAGATAGCCATGCCTATAGATTAAGACGATTGTGATTTAAATGACAAATCAAGTAGGGAAACAAATCCCAGCTAAATAGGAAAATAAAAAGCTATTCTATATCAGTTATCTTCCTATTGGATCAAATGTGGCTATAAAAATGCAGAGCAGAAAGTGTGACTCTAACAGCTTGAGTTTGTTCTTCCCTTCAGTGTGTCCACAGTTTATTTCTCATGCACAAACAGGAGGTCCAGTGCATATAGAGGCAAAATCCTCATACCAGAACAGGGCAGTGATAGACAGTCTTGATGCATTTCAGCTGAAGGAGTTATAAAAGTTGTTGGTGTTTCTATAGTCAAAACAGTAGGATGTGATATTTGCATGTCCAGGACTGTGCAGGAGTCCAAAAGGACTAGCAACAGAGCAGCAGAATCCTGGCCCCTAGCATAGTAGAGACATTGGTCTGGAAGTGACCTCTCCAGAAGGCCAGTTTAAAGTCTCCCAAAAAGCATAAAAGATCTCAAATAGGCAGCGGCCCAGTCAATCGGGAGGAAAATCTATATACTGGGAGGCTTTTGCTCCATTTATTGACTGAGCTATATGATTCTACCCTATTTTAATCTGTTCAACGAACCAGCCTCCAACTCCTGTAATGGAGATGACTTTGGTCACATCACTTTTGCCTTCTGTGGTGTGACTCTTCCCCAGAGTAGTAATGAGCTGTCTTTGAAATACTGTTACTTTGACTATTACTGGAGTAAACCTAAGAGGTGCCTCTTGATGAGGAGGAGAAAGTCCTTCTGTGCTCCGTGAGGAGCGAGATAACAAAGTATTCAGACTGCAGCTCCTTACCAGGGCAGCAGGAGGAAAAGGTGTTGATCTCTGACAGCATGTGGCATGTGAGGTGAGGAGGAGACAGGGGAATTGGTGTTGATCTTGTCCCAGATACATGTTGCAGGGTTGATGTGGATTAAGCTTAATGGTTGTACTGCGTGTGGTCAGAGCTTCCTCTTGTGTGGGAGATGTGCTGGTCCCTTTGTGAAAATTCAGTGCCAAAGCTGAGAGAGGAAGAACGGGAGGTGTCTGTGTCCCCAGGAATCATCACAACCACGCAGAGTTTTGACCGGGAGAAGCAGCGGGAGCACACCCTGCCCGTCACCGCCACCGACCAGGCGCAGGAGCCGCTGATTGGCGTGTGTCAGATCACTGTCCTCATTGCTGACCTCAACGACAATGATCCCAAGTTTGAGAACAGTCGATATCAGTGTGAGTGTTTCTTAACTGCCTGTCCTAGTACCTCAGCGTGAACCTTTTCAGTATTTCCTTATAACAGTGGCCAGTGTTTTAGGTGACCAGTCTTCCTTTGCTGCCAACTAAGCCAGTTACTACTTAATTCATTGTCAGTGGAGGCACACAGAGCTGATCACTGTCCTCTTTATTCGTTGCGGTACTCTGAAAAACATGGACAGGCTTCACTCCTGCAGATGCAGCAGATCGGATCCATTTCCTCTGTGGCTTTTCCCTGCCCAGATTTTCTGCACACTAAATTTTAATTCAATGTCCCAAAACAAAGCATGACATCCTAGATGGGAATTTATCAACCCTGAGTAGAATAGCAGTTGTCATCTGTGTCTTTAACACAGCACCTCTGTTCGAATAGGCTGGAGTGGTATTTGTCTTTTGTCAAAAAGACTGAAATCCTTGGCTTCTAGCCTGTGTTTCGCTGAGAGCCCTGATGCCCCCTGTAACTGAGCTGCTGAGCTAGCTTTCCACTTTTGCCCTGGTGCCATTCCCTTTTTCATCCCTACATGACGTGCTTTTCATCATTTAATTTTACTTAATTCTTCTCCAGTAGAGTCCTGCACTTCAGTACACTTGGTTCCTCTACATTTGATGTCACTCAAGTGATGAGCATAGTCCCTAGTTGCTGGACAGGTCCTTCCTTGTGTAATTGCCTCAAAATGTCAAAAAAGGATTGATGATTCAAGTGACAACAACTCCATTTTGGAGATGTTTTGTTAGTTCTATGGAAATGTCATGTAGGGCAAAGCAGTGACCAGTGCCTTACTAAAGGGGTGATGGCTTGTCAGTCAGTCATGTTCAGCATCACAGAGGCCAGCATTTTAGCAGGACTCAAAAAGAGGTTGGATACTTACAAGGCAGGAGAAGTTGGATGTTTAGAAGGAGAATTGACCTGCTAGGAAATAGTCTAAATATACATCCACACTTCAGAGTTATACACAAGGACAGGAAGAAAAATATGTTACACCTTTTAGAGTATCATATAGTGACCAACTCCAAGTGCCAAATAGTTAAAATGTGCAGATTGGGAATAGCCATTTCTGCATTCCTATCCGACATTTCTGTAAACCTGGCCAAGGCAGCACTGAGAAGTCAGGTGGGAGTGGTCTCCCTAGAAATAAATATTTTTGGACACAGCAGAGAAGTCCCTGAGGTAAAGATAATTCTTGGGCAAAGATGAACCTTTCTACTCTGCCTTCAAGTATGTCTTTCAGGTGAAACTGCCCACAATTAATTTTTTCAAAAGTAGTGAAGCTGAAAGGTTGCATTTGGTAATTATGGTGACTTTAGCAGTTCTGAGGAATGGGCAGATTTTCTTCTTTTTTCATGAACACAGAGAACCAGGAAAGGTCCTGAAGCAAAGTCAGTCCTTTGGGATTGGGAAACAGCAGATAATGAGGTCACTTTATGCACAGCACTTTTCCAGCGTCTATACATAAGTAATCAATGTTTGCACATCACAGAATTAAAAATAGCTTTTTCTCTAATGAGATAAAATGCCATTAGTCATAGGTTTCTATTTTTCCTGGAAACTGCTGATTCTTCATTCCCCTGTACTAGGATGTTGGTCAAACCCCCGATGTAAGCCACGCATCTTATCATCTCCCTGCAAAACAGACATTAAGGAAATGCTTACCTCTATGCAGTAGGGCTGGTATAGCAAGTGTTAGTTCTGCCAGCAGCAAGCAGAAGTACATGAAATGAGGGAGTATGGCTCTTCCAAGTAATTTTGTATTTTTTCTTAAAAATCACAATGTGGTTTAACAGGATTTAACTATAAAGGCATAAATTTAAACACCAAAAAGGATATTTTACAGTGTTTCTTAGCAGTAAATTCTATTTTAAAATCCATTTTTGTGCCTGTAAATCTCTTCTCAGAGCAGCTTTGGCTATTACTGACATGCCAGGGACATAAATCCTAGGCCAAATAACTGTCCTGGAGGAAAGAGAAGCTTATTAAAAGTTCAAATTTGTGTACATGGAGCAAGCAGTGGTGGTGGTTTAAGTTTTACTGCCCCACTGCTACAAACTGTACATATTAAGGAAGAAAACCAAATCAGAAAGCATGGCTACTCCGTTTTATAAATACCATGCACGTATGATTGTCCCACCTCAAAAATGCTAAAGGAGACACATGAAAGGGAGATCAAAGGCACAAAACAGTTTCTGAACAAAAAGCAATCAATTAGGTTGGCTGAGTTGTCTAAACCTAACTGGAAAGCCTTCCCATTGGCAGGGCCATTCCAGTACGCTGAGCTGATGGAGCCTTAGTGCATGGAAATGGCTTAAAAACCCAGCCAGGCAAGCACCCATATCTACTTGGAGGAGGAACTGGGACTAGATGAGTGAGGATGGAGGGAAGAGCAAGACCAAAGTCAAATCAGAGCAACCTAAAGACTGAGGTGTGGGAAAGATGCAACCAGCAGGGATGCAATAGCTTTATATATAGTTGTGCCTCGCAGAGAGGAGAGGAGTAGGGAATGACTGCTTATGATTTCCCATTATTTTGTTGGTGTCCCTGTTGGAAATCAGGCTTTAAGAAGATAAAATTAATCACTCTTCTGTCAACGGGTACTTCAGCTGTGTGACTCTGCCACCAGATTTTTAGACGATGATTACAAAAGTGGCATCAAAGCAGAATTGGTCTGTCTAGGACTATGGGCATAAAGACACAACCTCTGTCTCAGGTGGATTGCTGGGAACAGGGTGTGAGACCTAAGGAAAGGGGCATCTGTAAAATACTTACTGCATCCTTGCCCTGGGTAGCTTCCCCAAAACACTGGGGTGTAGTGGAGGGACCCTTCACTATGACCAGAGTCCCCATGCTTTGTGGTTATCTCCTGCCTCCCGCTGGCGATGCCGCTGCCACTCACATTCAGGGTTAATTCAGTTGACAGGAAGCTCCTTTCGATGCCAGCCTGCCTTCCTCGGGAGCTGAGCCCCGCACCGGGCTGTGGTCTGGAGCAGCGGGCGGGCAGCTGCGGGCTTTGCCAGCACCGCCGGGCAGAGCCACAGGTGCTGGCAGTGGCCAAGTCAGTAAACCTGCTTCACCAGCAGCTTGCTCAACAACCCAGCCTGTCAGCAGAAAGGGAAAGGGAAGCTAAAAGAGGACTGTAGACACTGGCAGTGATGATACTTTATAACCTGCCTCATTACAGAAATATTTAATCTCACACAAAGAGATTTTTTTTACAGGACTGTCTCGATTACGCACAACCTGGTAAATCAGAGCAAGACCTGCTGACCATGCCTTTGTCTTTTCAAAGACTTCCTCAGCGAAGACACTCCAGTGGGGACAAGTTTCCTCCGGGTGGCAGCTCATGACAGTGACCAAGGTGTAAATGCTGCTATCACATACTCAATGTTAGAGCACCAACAGGAATACTTCCAGGTCAACCCCAGCACAGGCTGGGTGTATGTGAGCTGCCTGCTATCCCAGGTAACGTGACTCTCTGATCGAAACAGAGCAATCTCCAACCCCTCGAACCCATTGCAGAAAGTTAATTGCAATCACTTGATTTGTACAAAATGGTTTGCAAATATCCTTGATCTCCTTTGTTTCACAGACAACAGGCATTAGTCGCTATATTGTAGCAACAGATGGAGGGAACAGGAGCAGCACTGTGGAGCTGACAGTAACTGTCACGAGTGCTCTCAGCCAGCCTCCCCAGTGGGAGCAGAGCAGATACTGGGTAACCATCCCCGAAAACACCATTCGTGACACCAAGATAGTGGTATGTTAAAAGTCCAATTCCTTCCCTCCCTTCTCTTTTCATTTCACCTTCTTCCTCTGTGTCTCCATGTTAAGAATGCATGGACACCCACTCTGCAACCCTGCTGCATTGTGCATTGATCATAAGTGGTGGGCCTTCACAGCTACGTGCCCCACTAGTGTTTGTCAGGAGTACCTGTTACAGAATAGGCCAGTGTCTCAGCTGGCAGCAGTTCCTGCCTTCTTCCTCCTGCATGTAGTATCCAAGCACTTGCAAACTGTTTAGGTTTTGTTTGTGTTTTGCCTGATGAAATGTACAGTGTGGAAATGGTCTCGTTTTGGATTGCTTTTGCTTTGGAAGATGGAGAGAGGAGCAATTTCCCTTAGCCAGTGATGCAGTTCTTGCTTGGCACATTTACAGGCAGGTAAACTTACTGTTGGTTAAAGACCTGCATCAGACCTAAATGTTGTAGAATGAAACTGAGCTCTGTAAACTGCTTCTCTTTTGTCTATTATCCAAGTCCTACAGGCACGTATTTTCTTGGAGAACATGCATGCATGTATGTTCATGTGATCAAACGGAACATTTGACACTTAAAACACCATGTTTCATGAGCATATGTGGTGGCTTTTTTCTTCTTCAGACCATCAAAGCCACAGCCCCTCTTGGTGATCCCAGGGTTACCTACAATCTGGAGGAGGGTCAAGTTCCAGAGACTAACATGCCAGTTCGTTTCTATCTGAAGCCAAACAGAGCTGATGGATCTGCTTCTCTTCTAGTCGCTGAACCACTTGACTTTGAGACAACTAAGTTTTTCACCCTGACGGTCCGGGCACAAAACGTAGCAATGACTCCTTTAGCCTCCTTTACCACTGTCTGTGTGAACATAACAGGTAAGCTTTGCTTCTTTTAGCTCATTCAGAGCAATATTCTTGTTATTTTTAGCGTAACACCACAAATGAAGGTAGCATCCATGAAGTGCCAAGCCACCTAAAGACTCTATACTATAAAGGAAGTCACGCAGCCATTAAAAAGGTCTATTTGAGAAAATACAAAGTACAACTGAAAATCTGACAGTGCAAATATGGGCTGTCTGAATGTTTGTGCAACACTAGTGCCTGCTTTTATAAATGTAATAGGAAAGATTTGCCTTTGATAGGAGGATAAATCTAGTAGATGTCCCCAAACTATTTAGAAGAGGCAAGTATTGCTGGAAATATTCTGTGCTGTAGAAAGAAACAGCCCAGATAGGTTGGGTTTGTGTTTGATATCAATTTAGGGGTTTTTGTTCTACTCAGAATTTTATATTGAACTATTGAACACTGAGATTAAAACCCTAGAAATGAAAACACAAAGTTCCTTACAACAGGTACAGTTTTGAGAAATTTGATCCAACTGTCCTTATAGCAGGATCTTTTTGTAAGACTCTACTCCTGCAGATACACATAAAACTACAAATATGATTTTAATTCCTGCTTTTCAAAGTATTAGTGGAGTTACTTTTGATATGTAGATGTTTAGATTATATATGAATAAGTGAAGGCTTCAGCAAAAGAATTTGCCTTGCTTATCACCATGGAAATAAGAGACTTAAGTGGTAATTGGAATGGGAACCCAGCTTCCCTGCTTCACTTCATCACAGCATTGTCCTGCCTTCCACAATCCACCAGTGCATAAACACTTTGAGTTTGTAGAGCAAGAGTGCTTCAAGTCAGGGTTTGAGTCTCACTGTAGATTATGGAATCTAAAAAAAATCAAGATTTTTTTTCCAATAGTACAGTTACTGGTATCAGAATTTGGCAGAAACTTTGTTTTGCTCACAAGTAAAAATCCTTTTTCAATAACTTAGTATTTCATACAAAAAAAAATAAACACAACTATATGCATTAGCGAGAGAAAAAAGGAAATTAAACACCTTTAAGAGAGAAATAACCACCAGAAAGTTTCATATGCAGAATTGTCCTTTATTTATGCACAAGCACAAAGGAAAGGAAGTCTTTTATAGCTTCTGATTTTCCTTACCCTGCTCAGAGAATTTGCTGAAATTTACCTCTGACAAGACATATTCTCTTCTATAAAATATGAAAAAATCACCTGTTAGAAAATAAATTTCAGATGATCCCATACCAACAGTTTAAAAAACAAACAAAAAAACCCCAGAAGTCATTTAAGACAATAGTCCTGCAAATAGTTGTGTGTCAGAATCAATGGAGTTATGTGACAGTAGTAAAGCTAAATGTGTGCTTAAGGGTTGGCAGAATGAGATATTAAGAATTTTGCCTGCTCTTCATAAAGACAGCTGGATCCAAGGAGATGTCATTACAGCTCTTCTGTTCTGGCACTGTGCCACAACACAGGAAAATTGCCTCCTTCAAATGTGGCTGTTAAACTGTGAAAAGTGCAAAAAAATGTAGGCAACTATGCAGCACTTTTGAGTTTAATCGTCTTACAGAAAAAGAGGAAGTCAGACTGATTTCTCCTGGGCTGAGCAGGAGGATGTGATTCCAGAGAAGATTAAATGGATCTGGGTCAGTGCTGCCATAGTTCTCCTTCCTGTCCCTTGTGCTCCCCTGGTCCCGCACAGCAGTTTTAGGGAGCAAATATGTCATAAATAGGCTCTTCAAAACACTGCACATGCTTTTCCCAGCTTATTTCCAGTTTGCTTTTTCCAGTTAATTTCCAATTGTATGTTAATCAGTTCTTAATGAAATGGAGAAATTAACTACTGCTGTAGATAACCAGTGTTTCACAGACTGCAGCTGGGAGGCCTCCTGGTCCTGGCATTCATGGACTTACTATAAGATCATTGTTCAAATCATTAGCTAGTATCTTAGCTGAGATTAGGCCACTCCCTGAAACTGCTCAATGTCTATCAAATGCCTCCTGACAGCTGCCATGAAAATGGGAAGATGCAAACCAGGATTGTTTCATACTATGAACAATGTGAATTCTTTCTCTGAGTAAAATTATGTCTGGGAAAAAAATATGGTGAAATAAACATTTAAACATTTTCTTACCATGCTCCCCATTACCTCTTTTTGCAGATGTCAATGATAATGTTCCATTCTTTGTGTCTTCTAACTACGAGGTGTCTGTGCCAGAAGGAGCTGATGCTGGCACATTCGTGGTTCAGGTGTTAGCTACGGACTTGGATTCTGGCTTACATGGAGAGGTTTGACCTTACATACAATTAATTTCTTCCCAACAGACAAGTTTTAGCACTGTAATTAGTGAGAGTGCACAGACAGCAGATGACAGGGTAATGAGCCACAAATACTTCTTACAGCACTTGTCAAGCGTTTGTCTGGAGGATGCCTGATGTGCATAGTTTGGGATACAAGCAGAGAAGATGCTGTTCATGATCTTGGGATCCTGCATCATAGCAGCTCATCCTGATACAGCCACCATGACAAAGCACTGCTGCACGGTTCTCAGGGTTGATCCCAGGACAAGACAAATGAAGGGAGCTGCAGAACATGTTTGCAAACTCTTACTTCTTCAGCTCATTATTTAATTCACCAGTGATTATGCTCACAGCTATTTAAATATGGTCAATTAAAGAACATTTCATTTCACCATCTTTGGTCAGATGGTTAGTTAAACCAACATTTGACCGGTATTGTCATAATGACCCAACCCTAGAATAAAGCAATATTATGTGGGAAAATGCTTATTTTCTGTGCATTTTCCTGAGACTTCCAAAAATTCTGCTAGTGGAGATCTGCTGTTCTGTAACTGTCATTTTGCAGCTTCTGAAGAACAACCTGTGTGGTAGAACTGCCTGGCAGTGCTCTGGGCATGACTTGGCCAGGGGTAGAAGTGCAGATGTTGTTTTCAGAGGAAGCCAGACCTTTGTTAAAGGGAAAAGTACTGATAGCCTTCATCAGAGGCGGTTTTAATTTCTTCAGTTCCATTAACAAGACCCAAACCCTCAGCCCTGTTTTCTTTGAGATCAGAAGCACAGTGGGTTGCTAGAAGCGGGGGTGGGAGGGGTAGGGGCGTGTGTGGGGGGGAGGACACAAGGGAAGATGTCATTCCATACTTTCTCTGTCCTTCTGTTATTCATGATCATTCCTAACTGCTCCTCTTGATGGCTGTTTGAGATTAGACACTGGGCTTGATGGGCCTTGATGTCACTGGTACAGATGTTCTTCTGTTTGAGAATTCTCCGTTTTGTATCAGAATGGGTAAAAGACTTAGAAAAATTGTGTTGAGGTGAACTGTCTTTCCTCAGAGTGTTGCAACTTTGCAGACAGACCCAGGAGTCTACTGGGAAAGTGGGAGGTTACAGAAGTTGAACATGCAAATGAAAATGGAAAATGCAACCTCTCATAACTATTTATTTTTCAGGTTCACTACTTAATACTGAAAGATGCTAGTGAGGATTACAAGTTCTTCACCATTGAGCCTGAGACAGGAATTATTTCCACTCGTGTATCTTTTGATAGAGAGAGAAGAGCCTCTTACCTGATTGAAGTTCAGTCTCAGGACTCTTCAGAATCTGCTAGACCTGGTGTTCATGGGCAGCCCAACACAGGTAAGACTAGTAAGGATTTACAAACTGTGTAATAGGTATCAGACGTTGGGTTCCTTAGCTTTTCTAGACCTGGGGAGGGAGGGAGGGGGTTGTGAGCTGTCTGGAATATAACAAGGTATTCCACCTCTGCCATTTCTAGTCCACACGTTCCTCTTTGTCTTCTTCTTAGACACAGCCTATGTGAGGATTTTTGTCAGTGATGTGAATGACAACGCTCCGGCATTTCCTCAGTCAGCGTATGAGGTCAGCATAGATGAGGACAGGGATGTTGGAAGTCCTGTTGTGACAGCAACAGCAGATGATATAGATGAGGGTGAGTGGATCCTGCATATCTTTCAAAGTCCTTAGTATTACTTGTGTTGTGTGTAAGGCTACCTCCTTCATAGGCAAATAAACCTCTGCATTCCAGAGATGATTAAGCATTTCAAGCATTTGTAAAAGTGAGGAGAGACATTATGGGTACACAGGAGCATTTTCTATTAGGTGCTCAGGTTTGCAGTGCAAACGTTAAACTAGCCAGCAATCTCTTCAGGGCAGAATGAAATCATCTGCAGTCACAACCCTGCTGTAACTTCACAAGAGGTAACATAAAAACTCACTCACTCCTGAGCATGTGCTTGCTTTTTGCTGGCTCCTCTGCTTTCCAGATCTCCCTAGGAGTCAGTTTTACTTTACCACAAGAAAACCAAACCTATGTGCCTTTTGGGGAGTTAGTGGGTTGAATGTGCTTCTGGAAGAATCTGACCAAACAGTGGAAAATGTGGGACAACATGACCAGAAATGAAGGCAGAGAGAAGGCAGCAGAAAGGCATGAAAAAAAAGTAAAGCCAGACCTTTTGGGGCTCACACTTACATCAGCTCTGATATTGTGAAACTGCTGCTACAGTGGTGGTGAGACTGGATGGGCTATGCCATCCCAACAGCACGGACCACCAGTCAGCTTCTGTCTTTGCTTCTGCTGCAGCTTTTGTGCTGCTTTCATGAGGTGGTTCAGCTCAACTTGCTGAAGAAAGCAAACCCACTGCAAAACAGAGGGCAAGCTGGTGCCTTGGAGACAGAGCCCAAATGAGCACCAGAGGAACGTGTTGCTGGGAACATGTGGGAGCTGACCACTCCTTTCAGTGGTAGTGCTGTAATGCCTGTGCCTCTTACTGCCCATGATGGAGACGTAAAGAGGCCATTTAAAACCAGCTGCTGCACTTGAGAGAATTTGGCAAAAGCAACTAGCAAGGAATGTTCAAACTCGTGCTGCAAAGGCAGCCAAGCTCTTCCAGGCACTAATACTGAGCACAGCCTTTTCACTTGCCGTCTGTGTTGGTCTAGTCTTCTCATCCACAGCTGACTCACAACCTAAAATGCTGAATGTTCATTCTACTCTTAGCAGTTTACCTATTTAATCTGGGAATTTACTTTCTGTCCTGGAATGTAATATAGTGTATTTTTTTTTCCTTTCAAATAAGTAAACGTGAAGAACCAAGTTTTTTTTCCTTCCTAAACATTTTGCAACCATCAAAGAACTGCTGTTGTAGAGGTGGAATGTTCTTCTGAGATGCATTCTTGCTCAAAATAGAGGATTTTATGTTATATTTTAGCACCATCCAGTGGTTAAAAAAAAAAGTTAAGGAATATTGGTATTTTAAATGGGAGGCTTAGGAAATAGGAAACATTGAGCAAATATAGCTTCTAGTATTTTTAGTGGTCTGCTACTTTTTTTAATTGCCAAACAATTATCATTTGCCAACAAATTAGAGGCACACATTCCTTCATTATCAGTCTGTGCCTGCAAATTTTATTTGTAAATATAAATGCAGACCTAAACCCCAATCTACGATTCACAAATTTTTCAAATTACATACATGGATCATTCTGTTGGTGACTGTGTCTGTGTTTTATCTCTCCCACACACCGTAACAGTCTGGGCAAATAAGGACTCTCTTGGATACATGTCTGCTGTGTATAGCTGGATAGAGGATTCAGGCAGTGGTTGTCTGCTTTCCCTTGTAGGTGCAAATGCCAAACTAAGGTATCAGATCACATCAGGAAATGTGAAAGGAGTTTTTGATGTGGAACCTGAAGTTGGAACTGTCTTCATTTCTCAGCCTCTGGATTATGAGCAAGAGCAACGTTATGAGCTCCGGCTTGTAGCTTCTGATGGAAAATGGGAAAACCACACTCTTATCCTCATCAATGTTGTCAATAAGAATGATGAAGCACCAGTCTTCACTCAGAACGAATACCAGGGCAGTGTCTTGGAGGAGCTCACAGATCTGCCTGTACTTGTCCTAAAGGTAAAGTGGTTTGCGCAAAGTAGGGCAAAACCTGACTTTTTGTTCAGCTCAATCCCATCCATTCACACAAATCCAGAAAGAGTTTCCAGTGTTAGGACATAACTAGCAACTTTCTGGAAAGAAGGGAATGAAGAAAGCCTAGTTGAATTTGGGTGGTTGGCTTGCTCCCTTGACCAGTATGAATAATGGTTGGACTCAATGATTTTAGGGGTCTTTTCCATCCTGTGATTCTAAGTGTTTAAAAATGTGGTGGCTTTCCTTTACAAAACAGAGTTAGCATATTCTGAGTAACTAAATAAGCATGTCATGGTTGGCTTGTATACCGCATACATTTAAGTCACAGACTCTTTGGCTACATCTATACTCCTAAATAAACATTACTGGGGATTGTTCTTTGATTCTGGAGCTGGATCATCTTAATTGTTTTGTTGTTAGAGCAGTACTTGGCATAAGCACTGTTTGGTTGGCCCAACCAGCAGTCTCCCAAACAATCCCTGGATGCAAATCAGGAGCTAGAAATTCTCTCTGGCCTGTGCTGATAATCAGCTTGGATGTATAACCACCCTGTTTTCACAGTCTTTTGTTCACTGGAAGAGAAACAGTACTTTTTGCCTTTGTATTCCAGCTCCAAAGAGTTTCACAAACACTTCTTAGCAGATCTGTTATTACTTCCACTTAGTTCTTCCTGCAGTTATTTTCTCTTTCCAGAATATACTGGCTAGTAGAATATCTCAGTCTGTCTAAACGTGATCCTTTTGTTTCTCTAGATAGTGAATGATGCTTACTGAAAGAGTACTTGTCTCGATTGACTCAAACCAATAGATGTTTCCTGTTAAAATGCATGCTGTTTATTTAGCCTGCACAATACCAACCACCATCAATAAAAGAACAGTGATTTCCCCTTTTCTTTTGCACAAATACTTACCCGCTGTGCCTTGTTCCAGGTCTCTGCAACAGACCCTGACCGAGCAGCTGATCAAAAGGTCATTAACTACACCCTGCACGGCCAGGGGGCGGGTAGCGAGTTCAGCATCAGCGAGAGCACGGGCGAGATCAGCGCCCAGAGGAGGTTAGACCGTGAGAAGCGATCCGCGTGGCGCTTCCTCGTGCTTGCAACGGACGAGAGCGGGGAGGGCCTGACTGGCTTTGCAGATGTCATCATAGAAGTGAGGGATGTGAATGACAATGCACCCCTCTTCCTCTGTGTGGTGGATGGCTGTTTCACGGGCCACGTCCCTGAGGATTCTCCAGCAGACGCTCCTGTCATGGACATGACAGCAGTGGACCTCGATGACCCAAAGGCAGATAGGAATGCTGTGCTAACATACAGCATCATTCAGAATGTCCAAAATGAAATTAATCTGAACTTGTTCTCAATTGACCCAGTTAGTGGCACGATCTATACAGTGCTGGGGTCCCTGGATCGGGAGAAGGAAAACAAGTACATAGTAGTGGTTGAGGCCAGAGATGGAGGGGGGCTTAGTGGGACAGGCACCGCCACTATTTTGGTGACCGATGTAAATGATCACGCTCCAGTCTTCCTGCAAAAGATCTACACTGCATTTGTCTCTGAGAATGCAAGTATAAACACCGAGGTGGTAGTAGTGTCTGCTGTGGATAGAGATGAGGGAGAAAATGCCATGGTGACATTCAGCATCCTAGATGGGGACAATGACCGGAAGTTCTCCATCGAGACAGATGAAGTTAGTAACTGTGGGTTTATCCGGCTACGAAAGCGGGTTGACTTTGAGAACCCTCATGAGAGGGTGTTCAATTTGACTGTGAAAGCAGAGGACATGGACTTCTTCAGCATTGCTTACTGCGTGATCTATGTGGAGGACTCCAATGACCATGCTCCTGTCTTCTACCCCCAGTTCTATGAAGTGACTGCGTTGGGGGAAGATGCATCTCTTGGCACCAAAGTTGTTCAGGTTTATGCCATTGACTTGGATTCTGGCTTGAATGGAAGGTTTGCTTTCCACCGGCTGAACAAGTCTGACCCAGGTGGCCAGTTCTCTGTGGCTAGTGATGGGTGGGTGATGGTTGCAGAACTGCTGGATTATGAGACAACGACACACTACCAACTCATTGTCATTGCCACTGATATGGGGCAGCCCCCTCTGACTGGCAGTGCCACTGTTTTAGTGACTCTGGAGGATGTAAATGACAACGGGCCAGAGTTTGAGGCTCATTATAACCCAGTGGTCTGGGAAAACACAGCTTCCCCACAGGTCATTCAAATGAATGAGACCTCTATGTTGTTGTACGCTAAGGACCGTGACACTGCTGCTAATGGAGCACCTTTCTCCTTCCACCTCCTCGGCGATCTCAATAGCCTGACTAACTTCCACTTGCAGGACTTCCACAATGGAAGTGCCTTGCTCACCGCGCTGCGTACCTTTGACAGGGAAGTGCACAAGGTGTTCTACCTGCCCATCCTGATCACTGACAGTGGGATCCCGCCAATGAGCTCCACCAACACCCTGACTGTGAATATCGGGGACCAAAATGATCACCCGCATTCTGCTGGCTACATGGAATGCCTCATTTACTGCTACGATGGTAAATCACTCCTTGATGCTAGCTTCCAAGTGTGACAGTGAGGTCAAAGGAGCAACTGTGACCTTCACAAGGAGGACTCTGTCCTGTTCCACATAAGCTAAGATCTTAGCTACTGACTTTTGCTTAGGTGTGTGGGTCACAGGACTCTGGGCCACTTGGTTCATGGAAGAAACTAAGCCAGCCTTGAAGGAAAAGTATAGCTGGCTGCTCTTCTATGCGTGTCTCTATCTAACTTGAGCAATGGTTTCTTGTTTTCAGATGCAGTTTTCCAGTAGCATTAGCACTTCAGGGGGAATAAAACATAACAACATTCATAATGTTGCTTAGAAGTGGTGAGCCCGAATGCTGACAACCTTCCTCCTCCTCCAGGCTGAATTCAGTTTTAATGAATACACTTCAGCTGAACTCGTGCAAACTGCTGGAGACATTCATATAAATCTCCCGCTGACAAGTGCTATTATGGGGGAATTTTCTGTGAATCTTGGCTGCAGGCAGTGTGAGAGGTCCACCTTTCCCTTCTTGCTTTGACAACTAGCTAGCAGTTCTCTTGTGGTCCAGTGTCCCCACATAATAAACCCAAAAGCAAAATAAACCACTCAGGTAAAAAGAATTTGGGATACTTAAATCCATGTAGGCTCAGCTCATTCCTTCCTCTTCTACTCCGCTGTGTACCCTGTAGTTCAATAGCACATTAAATAAATTGTTTCTTGTGGGCACACTGGAAACTACTTCTGTGTAGACACTGTTGACATCTATTTGTACTGAAACGTTCTCCCTCTTGTGTGCTCACTCTGAAGTTCAGCCTACTGCAAAGTTGAAACCAAGTCCAGCTGCTATTTGCTGAGAAACTCTGGTTGTAGCCTGAGTAACAGATCTTTTCATTAAGCCTGAATTCCCTTTTATTTGCCTCTTTAAAGGTTAAGCTAATCCGTATGGTTAATTTCTGGGAGAGGCTATTCAAGTCTTCAGATCTCTGTTTATTTAAAATATTAAGGAGAGACAGAATCATAAGGCTACTATCATGGTGTATGTTATTCATAAAATGTTAGAGTCAAACACCAGGGCACCCAGTATATTGTCTTCTGCAAAATATGCAATGAAAGTTGCCACTGGTGCAGGAGAGGTGCAGTTCTCTTCCCTTTTTGCATGCACTCCCTCAGTTTTCAGGGCTTGTGCTGTTCCCTTTCATAAGGTGAGCTCACATTTTTCCTCTTCCTTGTGTATTCTTGATTCTTTACTTGGTAGAACTATGAATTCAGTTAACTGTGGACCTTTCCTTCAGAAATAGTTTTTGTAAAACAAAAAAAACACTGATTTGTGGGCCTGCTTAGAGGATGCAAAACCAGTGGAATACATGTTGCTTTCCATTTCACCCCAAAGTCTCACAGTCTACTCAAAATAAGTCTGGTTATTGTATTTTGGTCATCCTCTCTATCTTGCTGTAATTTCCTCCAAATTGCTATTGTTTTTTTGCCCTTTATAACCCAGTTGGCATTTTGGTTGTTTATCCTGCCAAACCCCAATCCCTGTCTAAACTGCTCTGTAAGTTGGTTGGATATTGCATCCAAAACAGTAATAATGAGTGATTCTGAGTATCTCTTACATCTGCCCTCAGAGGTGGCTTTTCTTTTTCCTTCCCATTGCTTTCCATTGCAGCCATCTGTTGAATTAAATCTAGATCATCATACAGCAAACACCAAATAAACAGGAAACCAAGTGGTATTTGCAAACTGGTGCACATCTTCTCTTGGAAATTATCAAAACTATTTTTGTGGAGGTTTTAGACTTAAGACAAACCAGTAAAACTTGAATGGCCAACCTGTTTGTGTATTTGTGAAAGGTCCAACTGTTCCACTTATATGTTATGTTGTTTCAGGTATTCTCCCCATGATTGTACTGGGCAAGGTCCATGCCCCTGATGATGATGACTGGGATCACAAAATCTACCAATTTGAAGGGAAAACATCAAGGTATTTGGAGAGAAAAATGGGAGCTGGGTATCTAAAACTTACCTACACACAAACCCATTAAAAATATTTAAATGGCCTCTTTTCGGGATAAAAAAAAAAAAAAAAAAAAAAAAACAAAAAAAAACAAAACCAAAAAAAAACACAACCAAAGAAAAACAAACAAACAAAAACCTGTGCAAAACTTTTTGTTGGTTAGACTTTGTGTGTAGCTCTATAAAAGTCCTTCTGAGTAAGGCTGCAGTAAATAACACTGCATGCCAAACCAGTCTGTCTCCCATTGCCTGATGGATTAGAACACCATTCTAAATTCCTGTTCACTGTCATACTCTGTATCAGTGAGCCATTACAGAAGAAATACCCACTAACTTCCACCCTCCTTCATCCAAGCTCCTGGAGAGTTGGTGTTTCCATGTCACCACTGATTTTAAGACCTTATTTGTACTGCATGTATTCACACAAAAGTGTCTGAATTGTGACTGGGGTTGAGATGTAGATGTGCCATTCAGAGGTTTTTTACAGAGGTGTCACTCTCAAAGAATGTATGTAAATTAGGAGTTAGCCCTGTTTCCAAAGTTATGGCTATAGTCTTCTGAGTCTTCCTACACAGTCAATATGGCATAGAAGGAGGAAGAAGCCTTCCTGATATACTAGTGAAGAATCATTAAGAACCAACAGAAGGCAATCTAAACTGTTCTGTCCTTTCATGGGGGAACACATCTGCTAACTTGGATAGCTTTCCCAAAATAAAGTAGATCAGAAAAACCATCAGTGATGACAATTACTGCCTAGCTTTTGAACTTCTCATAGTTTGTTCCTTGGCTTAACTCTTATTACAGGTACTTTATCCTTAATGATAACTCAGGTTTGCTGACTGTTAAAGAAGGAACCCCACCAGGAACGTACAACCTAAGAGTTAGAGTCATTGATGGAGTCTGGCCAGATGTTGTCTCAACTGTAAAGGTTATAGTGAAGGAAATTAAAGATGATGCCCTCCATAATGCTGGTTCTATACGAATAAAAGGTAAAGAACATGATGAAGTATGTTAGGATCATAGTGCTGAAATCTACCTCTTTAATGTTACTGCTGTTACATAGAATTCTAATGCTCTTAGATATGAGATGAGAGTTAATAGTTTTCTAGGTAAGGATTTGAAAATGCCTCTCTTGTTTGCATGGTCCTCTGACACTGCATGTGATAGAGCATCTATGGAGAGAAAAAACAGCAAGAAATGCTTGTCTGATGCAGAAGACAAAGGTGAAAGATTTCTGCACCAACTTTTTAACAAAATGGCAATTTATATTTCAGAAAAATGTTTGAACAAGCGTCTGCCTGAAGTTCACCAAATTGTTTCAATCTTTGTGGAAGAGTAAAATCTTCTTAAACATGTTTCTGATTTAAAAGAATAAAAAAGCGAAATTAGTAAGAGGCAAAACCCTCAGTAAAAGCCAACATGGAGAATTTCAGAGCTTTAAAATTAAAATACTCCTAAATTTGCCATTATGCAACCTTAGTATTTAGTCTGTGGTACTCCTCTCTTTCATTGCTACATTTGCAAAATATAGGCTTGTCAAGTTTTTAATTTCTATTACAGATATCACTCCAGAGGAATTCATATCCCAGTCTCCTGAAAAACAAAGTAAATACTACCAGATGAAGAAGCTGCTTTCAGAAATTATATCAGTCCAACTGGAAAACGTGCACATTTTCAGTGTGTTAAATAGCCCAAGTCAAACCCGAGGGGTTGATGTTTGGTTTGCAGTTTATGGTCCACCGTATTACAAAGCAGAAAAACTTAACGGCAATGTAGCAGCTTCCAGAACATGGGTAAGTGTCCGTACTACATATGGAACCACAGCGTCTTCTAATTGTGTCAATTCAGATAAAATCCATTGCCTAGTGAATATGGATACTTAGAATGACTCAGGAAGTAGTGTGTGAGAAAAACGGGTAGTTGTCATCTGTAAACAGTCCTTTAGCACTTATATTAGAATTTTCAAATGTGGATATTTGAAAAGCCATGTTTTAAATACATATTAAGTCACTGAGACACAGTGAGCTTTTACAAATGTGAACATGTTTTTCTTATTGAAAAGACTAAAACTGTATAAAGGATGTGTTTGGCTGTTGCCTTTTTACACAGTGTCTTAATGTTTCATTTTTCAGTCCTCTACAGAGAACAAACCCATCAAAAGTTCTAACTTTCCAAGTTAAGAGGTCAAAACGGTAAAATAACCACTCTGCAGTGGAAAACCAGTTTGGAAATGTGTATTGACAATTCAGTAAAGTTCCTGCCCCTCTTGCAAAAAAAGTATTGATAAGGGTTGAATGACTCGCTCTTTTGGCAACATACCCGTCAGTCCTGAGGCTGAAATAAGAGTTATGGTTAGAGTCAGTGCTGCAGTAACAACTCACTCTTACCAGAAGAGGCATTTCTTCACTGCCCAATGCCTGTCTACCCTTCCAAGTATTTTTAAGACAGGAGTCCCAATTAAAAATACAGCTCAGATGTTATGTAAATAATCCATCAGAACCATCAGGATTAAAATTTATCTGCTCATTTTATGATGAGTATGACAATATTTTTGTTTTCTAAGTGCTTACTCATGCTATAATTGACTTATACCAAGGCTTTGGCCTTAACAGATGCCAGGCTAAACTGCCTTTGGCTGGACAAGGTGAGGTAGATGTTGGAAGAAAGTGGCACAGCAACCAGTTTTGAGAATAAATGAGACTTGGGCTTGTCATTGCTTTCATTTGTGAGTTCTCTTTCTGGGGAAAAGTCAGATGAATGGAACTAATTGTTCTTCACAGCTGGAAAACATCTTGGATATAAATATCACCCAGATTGGTATCGATGAATGCGTGACTGCAAACTGCACTCACAGCAGTGGATGCATCAGCAAGCATGAACAGAGTCTTGTGCCAACGATAGCCACAGCTGGAAGTGTTTCATTGGTGTCTGTGACGGTCCTGAGTCGTGCCCTGTGTGGCTGTGCAGCTCGGGAGAGTCCTCATCTCTCCTGCTCCTCATACCAGGCAAACCCTTGTCTCAATGGTGGCACATGCACGGATACTGATTTGGGATACAGGTTGGTAAAGCTTGGTGTGGAGTTCAAACAAAATGCTCCTAGTTCAGTTTGTAAGGAGGATGACTGGAAGCTTGAGGAGGCATCACTGCATGTCTTCTCACTGTGGCAGATCTAAGTTTTGTCATAGTTCGTGCACAGGTCTTGCAGACAAACCTCTATTCTCAGGTAGCTACTTAGGTTCATCATAGTCTCCAGGAAGAACCATGGGAAGTTTGCAGGCTGAAGTTGCTAAGGGCTCTTCTCACAGCAGGGCTCTCCACTTTAAACATGGGAGCTCATGTTGCCTAGGCCATAGCCTGTGCTAAGCACCAGCAAAACTCAGGTCCCATAAAAAATTGTTTCCTATTGATTTGTTTGTACAAACATAATTTAGCTTTAGTTCTAAATGATGTGTCTATGCAAAAGTATTCTGTGAATAAATGACAGAGACATTGCAAATATGCAAAGCACATGATCAAATATATGTAATATACAAAGCGCTCTAATCTTGTGGAAAAAAAAAACAAACCAAAACAAAAAAAACCCCAAACAACCAAAACCAAACCCCTAACATTTCTCACTAGGCTTCATTACCAGCTTGTTAAACACTTTAGAATGTTGACAGGGAAAACAAACCTCAAATCTTTCTTGGCGAAAGCACGGTGTAGACAAGATGGCCCAGCACCCTGTCCAGCTGAAAATTAAGTGTGTCCAGCGTTGGAGAATCAACCACTTCCCTGGGGAGATTGTTCCAAAGGCTGATATCTCTCATTGTGAAAAATTTGGAGAAAAAATCAGTGAAGAAATGTGGGGAAGAGATTACAAAGCGGCGTAAGTGTTATGATTAGAGCATTTAACAGCATTAAGGCAGGCTGCACAAAATAAGAGTATTTTGCAGGGTGGCATTAATGGAACCAATGCAGTCTGCAAACTCCCCAAGGTTTTTCCTGGAGACTATAATGAACCTAAGTACCCACCTGAAAATAGGCATCATGAGCTCCTGTGTTTAAAGTGAAGAGTCCTGCTGTCGGAAGAGTTATGTGGACGGTGGATTTTTACTTTTATTTATTTTTTTAATAGGTGCAAATGTTCTGCAAATTTCCACGGACCAGACTGCCAGCAGACAAAGCACACCTTCAGAGGCCACGGTTATGCCTGGTTCCCTCCTCTTAAGCCTTGCTTTGAGACCCGCATCTCCTTAGAATTTATCACTGAAGTCACCGATGGCCTTCTGTTGTACCATGGACCAGTGGCACGAGGGCAGCCTGGAGAACGGGAAGATTTCCTTGCTTTAGGTTAGCACCTTGAAGAGTATTTGTTCTTTGTATTTGTGTAAAGGCGAGGTTCTATCTACAGTTGATAGGTTTGTTTAGTTTTGTTTTTTATTTAAAAAAAAAAAGCTTCAGAAAGTTACTTTTGGAGAACAAGGCGAATGCAGAACGACTTGCCTGTATGCCCAGTTTGTATCCTGTGTCACTGTGTTAAAAGTTGGATTTTCTTAAACCTGTCTAAAGAACTCCTTCGACTAAAACAGAGCTGCAAGGGTTGTTTCAACTGGGTGGGAACATTTTAGCCTGTATCCAGTAAGTTTTTCCTTTGCAGAGCTGTCTGGTGGTGTCCCGTCGCTGACCGTGAGCCATGGCTCTGGTGAGCTTTTCCTGGAGCTGTCACGAAAAGTTAATGTTGCAGATCGACGCTGGCACAATATTAAAATTATAAATGATGGAAAGGCAAGTGTAGACATGGACAGTCCTGTGGAAGCACTAATTCATGTACCTAGTTATTGTTTCAAAATCCTTCCTCCTTTCTGCAGAGTTCTTTTATCAATCAGTCTTTCATCATCCCTGCAACAGCAGGAAGGATGAAACATCTGGAAGTTTCTCAGCTCAGATGTCCCCTCAGTCTTGAAGGAGTTAAGCAGAACAAGGCCTGGAGAAGTCCAATCCAATTGTGAAACTGGCCCTGCTATTTTCTTTGTTTAATGATCCTATCTATCACCTAGACTATAGAGCTGGATAATCCAGGGGCTAAATGCTTCCTAGACTGATGGAAAGAAATATCCTTAATTACTCTGAGTGGAAAACCCTACCCCAGCTAACTTCAGACGTGCAGCACAAAGGAGATAGATATGCTTTTGGGTAAGGGGAACATCTTGCTGATCTAACACTGGTGAAGGCATCTGCTAGACTTCCCCTTCCTCTCCCACATAAGACAAGCTGGGAGACATGGCAGAATCTGGGATGGGGCATCTGGTGGACCATTTACTTTGCTAGATTGTCTCTCTGGGTTCTGATTTGGCAGAAAACTCCAAGAAAATTCTATCTTTCCTCTACCATGTCAGTGACATGGCATGGTCATGGTAGAGTCAGATCTTACTTTTATGTGGCTCCTTAGTTATATGCCATGTGCAACAACCTTCCAGACTAGTATGTAGAAGTGTTTTATTATTTTAATAAAGCTTCCTGTACTCTAATTCCTAGTTACTATTCTCCCTTCTTCTAAGCAAAAGTAAATGAATAATTAAAATGTATGCATGTCTCTAGATGCAATTGTTTTAACTCATGCCTTTCTCTAGAAAGTGAAGCTGATTCTTGACAACTGCGTAAATGCCTCAGTTCGAGACAACAGTGGCATTAAGAAGATCTCCCAAATAGATCTATCTTCCTGTGAAGCCTCTGGAGAGACTGTGGAATCTCAAAGGTAAAAAAAACAAAACAAGACAAGAACAAGAACTGGAAACAAAATTAGTCAAAAGAGCTAAGGAAAAAAAGGGGGGGAGTGGTGTATATCAGCCAAGTTGCTTTATTTGCTTTATTTTTCATGCCACTAATTCTTTCTTTCCTTCCCTTCCCTTCAGCATGGGTAGACTCTTCAGTGGCCATCAGCCCCTGCAGCTGGGTGGAGTTAAGACTTTGCCTTACCACAATTCACAAAGGCACTTCAGAGGGTTTGTTGGCTGCATACGCAATGTCATTGTTGATAGTAAGGTACAGCTACTAAGACCCGTCTTGGATTTACTGTTTTGAACTGTAGACGTCTGATGTGATGCTATTTTGTCCTTTTCCAGGTCTATGATTTAGAGCACCCTGCAGAGTCCTTGAACAGCGCTCCCGGCTGTGCCCTTACGGATGAAGTGTGTCAGAGGGGTGGGGTGGCCTCCTGTGGCACCCATGGCAAGTGTGTTGGTGGTTGGGATTTCTTCCGCTGTGACTGTTCCCCGGGATATGCTGGACCAATGTGTGAAAAAGGTACTAGAGGTTCTAGGGAGAAATTCATAGTTTGGATCTGTGGGAAGAGCATCAAATATACTGCCCTAAATTTGCCACGACTTTGAACTGAGTAGCATAACAAGACCATGCTGTACTTGAACTGATTTAGATCCTTTTAATTTGTGTTGAATAAAGATAATATCACAGATGAGGGTCTTGTTGACATCTGCTTTACTCTGCTGGGGAGGCAAGTGATCGGATAGGCTGTTTTGTGTGTTTCACCACTGGTGAAAGGTGAAACATTCTGCATTGTGCCTTCTTCCTCAGATTATACTGATCACAAAATGTAGTTTAATGAACATGGTACTATTTGTCATCTTGCAGTGGTTGTAAGAGCGATGAGGTTGCCATCTTGGTATGTTCTCTGTGTGAAACCTGGGACCATGACCCTGAAGTTACCTTCAGACTCAACCTTCCATCTATAAAATGAGGATAATTGAATTTGTGTCTGTCACTGGAATGAATTGAAGGATGTGCAATGTCCCTAGACCGCAGCAGTGAGTGCATGAGGGGACATAATACCAGGCTGGCTCCTGCAAACTGTTATCCTGTACAAAATCAGCATGAAATATGTATTGGAGGACAAAAGCATGCAAAGGTGGATAATGAAAACCTCAGAGACACTGTAAGGAAATGCAAAATTTTAGCACAATTTAAAAATTTAGGAAAAAAATTATTGAACTCTTAGTAGCCCACAGCCATGTTCAGGGTACAGGGGACACACTTGAAGTTGGCTCTGTCCTCTCTATCTTAATAACTTCAGCAGCCATTGCTCTGAATCAGAAATCAGAAGTGAGTTAAAGGTATTTACTGTGACTTTACCTGCCCAGTATCTGCCTTCTCCCTGTAGGTACAAGGTGCAAACAATGGCATTGGTCATAGCAAACTGTAATGTGCCTCATGACTCTGGGGGCATTCACTGTTTAAAGTGTTTATAATGACCACAGACATGGTTAATGTAGTTCAGTTATTTGTATTAATGTTCTGCAGACAGATGATACTGGTTAATAAATATCTGCCTGAATTTAAATCATATTCTGCTGTGCATTATCTTGGAATGCTGGTTCACAAATCCAACTGCTGTATTGGCTCCTACCTCCCACCACTGTGGTACAAATGTTCAGAAAGTAATTACTCAAAATCTGTAAGTTATATCCTGATGTAGCAGGAAAACTTTGATTGGTTCCAGCTTTTTCTGATATACTGGACGGCAAAATGCTGGTTTAGCTGGTGCTTTATGAATGGCTGAGCTGTCCTTGCAGCATGGAAAACTCAGTTGGGGACAGGAGTCACTGTAATGTCTCAAGAAAACCCATCCCTGCTCTCAGCCTGTAGCTGCAGAGGTAGAGAACAAGAGAACAGTGGGTTAGGAAGAATAATACGAGGGGAATAAGCTAAAGGAGAAAACACATCTCAGTAAAGAAAAGAGAGAGGAGAAAGTATGAGGAAAAGAGAGTGAAGAGATGAAATCTCTAGATCTTTTTATGTTTCATGACCTGGGAACCAGACTACATGCCCCAGGATGAGCTGGGCACTCTTTGGATTTCTACTTGCACAACACTGTACTCAGATTAGCTGGTGGCCCAGTGTTCCTCCTGTCTAGTAACTAATTTGGACTATGTCTTTATTTGGTAAGAAAAAACTTCTTTTTTCAACCAAGCTGTGCCCAGAACAAGCAGATCTAGGATAACGGTCAGATATTGAGATTGAAATGGGTGCCTGCTGACTAAGAGCACCAGGGGCTGTGTGGTTTTGATTCCTACAGAACATGTGCAGTGCAACTTCATCAAACTCTCTCCTGGAAAACTCTCAGACGGATTCAGACGTATTACTTTTCCCTAGTAAAAATAATAACCACTAACTTAGTAATTAAAAAACCAAACAACCAAACAACCAACAAACCAAAACCATGACTTTTAACTCTGTGCCTGCCCTGAGGATTTCTCTTGTGCCTACTGAAATGGGAAGTGCATAATGTTTAATAGTGAAGGCTATTAATCACAAGACTAAACTACTGAAAGAAAAATAGATTATCTTTTTTTTTTTTTTTGTCTTCAGATCACTACCAACTACTTTATTGAAAGGTGTGTGTCTTAAAAAGAACCACCTCCACCAACAAGTTATTTGGCTCAGTGTAGGAGTGATTGGGTAGAATGTGTAGCTTGTGACATACAGAATGTCAGAGACAGTACCCAATTGTCCCTCTCCTGACTAAATTCTGTATCCTTGATTTGTTGTTTCTCTCTGAATTCCCTTTGCACTTGGGTGTGTGCTTTCCATGGTGTTTCATTATGTTGCTGAAGTTTCTTAAGAACTAAAACTCCAACATTCAGAACTGGTTCATTCTCAAGCTGTAGAGGTCTGAGGGAGCAGGAATTTCTGAGATGTTCCCATTGTTTTTGTGTGTGTTGTGCTTAGTTCTTCCAGAATGGGCTTTTGGAAGGGACAGTTGGATCCATTACGAGCCAAGAAGCATCCTCAGCACTCATAGCACTCAGCTCCAGCTGATGGTGCGCACCCGTATCTCCCACAGCACTCTTCTCAGCTTGGCCTCTGCAGATGGGAATGGATACATCCGACTGGAGGTGAGCAGTCCAAAACCCATTCTGTTTCAGTCCTTTTCATCCGTCATCTCTTAATTTCCATTCTTAATTTATTCCTAGTAAGACAAAAGGATGCAGTTTCTGATTAAGGACACCTACTCTGTAATGTAATAAAGAACAAGAATTTTCTGTATGAGGGTAACTACTCTCATTCATGTTGTCCTCAGTATTAACATTTCCTGGCATAGACTCTAGTTGTTTCACTACCTGCAAAATGTCCAGGTGAGTGCATGTAAAACACGTGAATGGGGAAGATTGTTTTGTCCTGTTTGTCTTTTCCACTTCCTTCTGTCTGTGTCTGGCTATAAAATTTGTCTCTGTGTTTTTGTTGCTGTTAAAAAAAAGCTGTCTAGATTATATTAGGTAGACGAAGGTTGATTATTCCAGTTGTAACAGAAGGATCAGCTAGGAAGACTTTGAGATAGACATCAGTAAGAAGAAGATGGATAAAAAGGTTCATGTAAATGAGAAGAGTGACCTCTAAAGAAAAGACACTATAATTCCTGGGCCTGCAGTTTTCTTGTAGTTTTTATATGGGCATAAAGCACTTAAAACGGAGAGTGCCATTTTCATTTTTAAAGCTCAGGTCCATTTCTTGAGGCAGGACAGTATAATGACATTTAGAAGTGCATTTCTGTTATTGAAGGTCTTTATCATCTTCCTCTAGGTGGTTGAGGGTTTCTTTAGTGTTAACTTCAGCTTGGGAGACAAAAATCACTCTCTGAGAACGAGGACGTTACGTATAAACAATGGCCAGTGGGTTCTTCTGACCATGGAGCGCTACAACAATGAATTTACCCTGCGTGTTAATAGTGGTGGAGGTGATCAAGAAGTGACCTCTGTCTTGGGTACAAACAGATGGTTTGAAATGGATTGGACGAGCGTTGTGCTAGGAAACCGCCTTCCCAATCATTCAGAGAGCGATTTCCAAGGTAAGTGGTATGACAAGCTCCTAAAAGCAGGGAATTAAAGCCTAGATGTGGCATCTCTGAGTGTATTGGAGAGTCTAAAACCCAGGTAAGAATTCCCATGGAGAATACTATGCCCATGAAATCCCACCTCTTCTACTAGGGAATTCAGAGCCATGAGGAATGTTCAACTCTGTTTGCCATTGTATCTGATCCTAGTGAAGATGTGAGATTTCCTGTAGATATTAAAAAATAGTACCTCAGATTTTTATTTCCCAGGCCAAAGGCCCCAAGCAGGGAGCTCATGCTGTGATCTTCACTCTCTTTTTGCCTCAGAAGGATTTAAGGAACAGACACAACACCTCCTGATAGGAGGATAACAATTTGCAATGCAATTCATGGTACTCTCTCCATTTCCCGAGGTGGGCAGCTGCAACTTTGAGATTGTGGCTCAACAAGAAGACAACTTTTTCCATTCTGTTGCTCTCATTCAGCCCCACTTTTAAGATTATAGTTTAAACCTAGATTAATTTAGAGGGGCTGTTGTGGTTCATAGCACAGTTCTGCTAAATCATTGCATTGGTACAACCAAGCTGTCCTGGAGAGGTATTGGCCAGAACATATTTGCACGTCCTGTAGCTCTTCTTCTAAAATAAAACCAATGAACGGCATAAGGATCTTTTTAAAAAATGTTTTTAAGTTTTCTAGAGTGCTGTAGGGTCTCCTGCATATGTGTTGGGGGCAAGGCTTGAGGTGGGGAAATTGCTAACTCAGTGTTCCTCTGCATCGATGCAGGTTGCATGCGTGACGTCCAGCTGAACGGCCAGCCGCTCCTCGTGGAAGGCAGAAGCACAGAGTTTGGCTTGATCCTGAGGCGGCAAGGTGTCACGATGGGATGCCATTCCAGTGCCTGCAGCAGCCAGCCCTGCTACAGCCCTTTCCTTTGTGTGGACCTGTGGAGAAAATACGAATGCCGGTATATTAAGCTTTTGTTTTCATCCAGGGGGTATTGGGAAGCTCTCTCTTTCCACCTTAGTTCAGGCAACTTGCTTCTAATAGTGAGACTCCCTGCTGCTGCTGGCCAGAGGGAGGCATCTCACAGACAAATCCTTCTCTACGTCTCATCTGTCATGATGGACCATATTTGCCTTTTCCTGCAAGTCTGGTATGGGACCTGTTTACTCCACAATTATTCCCATGGCGAGAAGATCAAAGGCCAGTGAGGAAGTGAAATGCCCTTTGATAAAAGGTGGATTGCAAAATCTTTGGTATCTCCTTCTCTGTGTGAAAAAATATATATTGTCATATAGCAGATAGATATATAGTATATTGAGATTTATAAAATATATACTGGACTTTTTTTTTTTCTGTAAAGAAATTGAAAATAATCTTACTTTGTATGAAACAAAGAGACTTTCAAAATAAGACTTTCACAAAACTGGGTTCTGAAATTGGCTGCCCAGGGTCAGAACCAAAGCTCACCAGCTGGTATCCTACACAGTTATTTCCTCAGAGAAGATCCACTCTTTAAAGGAAATTGTCAAAGTACATCTCAAAATATGCAAATCAAAGTATAGGCATTTCCGTTAAAACCAAACACATATATGAGGACTGGGAGAAAGAGCCACTTGAATTCCTTCGAGTCAGCCAAAATATGACACTTCTGAGGCCTGGTGATTCACTGCTGAAAAAGACTGTGAGATGGTCTCACATGTGCCTTGGGACACTCCTTCAGTCACTTATAAAAGCAGACTTCTATTTAGTCACTAGTATTTCTTCTTTGGATTGCAGAAGGCAGGTCTGTGCCCTCACAGTTTACATGTCAGAAGAAATCACTTTCTCTGCAACCCTAAAAGACATTTCATCCTGAGGAGGTCAATGATATCTCTCCCAAAGGTCCCATTGAACATTACAAAGCTTATACTAAGTGCTTGCAAGGCCTTTTCTCATTGACCTCAGCTATCTATTTACTTCTAGGGTGTTTGAACACATCTGTAGAAAAAGGGTTAGGCTGTTCAGAAGCTGATGGTTCCCTTTATTAAGGAAGGAGTGGAGCTCTTATATGTGTCTTCTGGACAGGGAAAGCAGAATATATGTTCATGTTTTCATAGGCCTACTATGTTAGATTTTACATGTATTTCATCCTCTCAATGTGCATTTGTGGTTTGCTTGAAAAAAAATGTAATTATTTGCTTTAAAGAAATGGTAACAAACTTTGTAAAACAACATACAGTGATACAGTGGCAGGTTCTTTGCATGTCTAAAAGATATCTTCTGCTTTTGTTGTTCAGCTGTCCAGCTGGGAAAGTAGAAGTGACTGACAACCTTACAGGGCTCAGACACTGTACCTCATCACCTTGTGGACACTGGAACTGTAGGAATGGGGGTACTTGTGTGGTTCAATCACAAGACAAGACTATCTGCCAATGCCCTGAAGGTTACAGAGGAAGATGGTGTGAAATTAGCCAGGTGAAGGCTATAAGACCAGTTGGACTCAGCTCTGGCTCTATTCTGGCAATCAGCATGTGCCTCCTTGTCTTCCTAGGTAGGAAAGCATATGCCTTTTTTCTTTCTTTTGTACCTTGCTCCGTTGAATCAAGTCTGCTTTACCCTTGGATGTTGTGATCAGTGTTTCATTGTTTCTGGAGATCACCAGCTGGGAGTTCATTTGAGGATGCTAAGAGACAAGCATCAGCATGTAGTTACAGTTTACTTGCTTTGAAGCCAGTTCAAGAAAACTTTAGACTTGTCTCTTTCAGAATCACTAATTTTCAATCCTTCTAGAGTAAGAGCTTTCCATCTGTGTGTGCAAATCTGTGTGCAGCCACATCCATCTGAAACTCCCACCTGCCCTTTCGTGTGCACTTTAGCTGAAAAGTTAATAACAGGATAAAATATAAACATTTTAAACTTTTGGTTTTCTTACTTTTGTAATAGGCAGGACTTAGAGCTGGTACCTGCTATTCACCTATTAGGAAGGAAGAGATCATCCTCTAGAAATTTTATGAACTTAGCAGGCAATCCTTATTAAGAGTGTGGGGCAGAAAGAGATGTTCACAGTGTGCCCAGTTTTGGGTCCACTTTAGCTGAAAAGTTAATAACAGGATAAAACTGTTTTCATATTGATAAACTGCATACACATCTCAGAATAGCAAAGACCTCGTGATTATATTACACGTGTAACCTTCATTAAAACAGTGTTTTACTTACTTTGAGTATCTTATTTACTCAGGATTGGTGAAAGGCCAGAGATTGGCCAAAACGCCTTCTATTTAAATGGATTCCTTTAGGTAAGTAAAATACCCTTTTAATGAAGTTTATGAAGTAATATACATAGATATTCTTTACATTCGTGAATATAAGTTGTTTATATATTAACAATTGCACATTTATTTCTTGGGAATTTGGTGGTCAAATTATCATCTCAGGAGTAACATAACTACTTGTTTATCATGCACCATTCTTTGTCATATGTTGTATAACAAATACATGTCTTTATTTCTTCCAGCACTCTTAGTCTCTTACACGGTGTGGAGTCAGTGGGGAAGTTCAGGGTTTCGAAAAGGAGGAATTTACCACATTCCTGAAGAGCATGAAAGCTGGGAGGATGTTAGAGAAAATGTCTTCAATTATAATGAAGAAGGAGGTGGAGAACATGATCAGGTATGATGCAGCTTCAATACGGTCTTTGTAAATCCAACCTCTCCTCACCATCCTTTCTCAGAGCTTTTATTTAACTTATTTTCATTATCCAGCTGGTTTTTTTGGTTGGTTGGTAAGTTATTAACCTGAAGTACTCATGAGTGGAAAGCTTCTATGTCAGCCCAATCTGTACCTTTCACAATGCTGATCTCCTGTGGCCACCTTTGAGGGGGCTGCTCTGGATGCAGCATTCTTGCTTTAGCTGAATTATGCAAAGGGACTTGGTGTGATCTGAACTTAGCCCTCTGAACTGGGCCCTCTCTTCAGTTTGCAGAAAACTCACAGAATCCAGTTTTGTACTGCACTGAGTCTTAAAACATTTTTTTGGATCTTGTTTCTTTTTGTGTTGTTTCCCTCTGATATTTTAATTTTTTATTTTTTTTTCCCCCCAGAATGCTTATGATATAGATGAACTGAAGAAACCTCTCCATACCATTTCCCACTTCTCCTTGAGTGCAACTGCTCCACAGTCCAGGACACCCACTGGCTTGAAAAGAGACTCACTCCCAAAACATGCACATCAAAAACAATCACTGTCAGATGTTACCAGCATCCCAGACTTCAGGGAATATGTTTCTCAAATCATCTGGGATGCAGACAATGATCTACAGAGTCTTCCAGCTGACACTATTCATTTTTACTGCTTAGAAGGGCAATGCTCTCTAGCAGGGAGCCTTAGTTCCTTAGACTCCAGTAGTGATAATGAAGATCTAAATAACGATTGCCTCCAAGAATGGGGGTCAAAGTTTGACAAGCTTAAAGAACTCTTTAAGGTCTCAAATGAACATTTGTAACCAGAGTTAAAGGAACTTGACACTTTACCATGACATATGGACACTACTTTTAAAAATGACCTTTTTATATATTAAGTATATCAAGTAACTTACTTGATGCAAGCTTTTAGTCATAGTGCTCACCTTTCCCAGGAGTGATAATTTGAACGGCCTTTTTATATGCACTGTACAAGGAATTATTTGATGGTAGAAGTGCAAAAGCTTTTAAAGCATGAATTTTCTTGAAAACTTCGGAATGCAGGATTTGTACCAAATAGCATTATAATATCCCTTTTTATTTGTGTAGACCACAGTGGCTTATTAGAATTTTCCTGGATGCAAGAACTTGAATTGTTTTCTCCCTAGTATTAACATCAATCCTATCAGGTGGGTAGCAATGGGTAGGGCATTTTTTTTTTTTTAAATTGCATTCATTTTAGACTGTGAAATAATCATTACAAATGCTAAATATAAACATTTTAAACTTCTGGTTTTCTTGTCAGCTTTTGTCTTATCCTCCTCATCTGTAATCTCCCTTGACATGACACACGCCACCTCACTCACTAGTACAGGCTGCCCAACCATGTAAGACTTTCTCTGATCCTTGTCCTAATTACCTGTAGAGAGGGGGACAGAGTGGAAAGACCCTAGCTGTGAATAGCACTTTGCTGATGTGACAAATTTACACTCTTAAAGCAGTTGTAAGACCTGGGAGAAGTTTCTATTCAGTAAGCTTTTATTTCCAGCTTTGCTTTTCACATGGAACCCTCCTTCCCAGTTTGCAGCTGGAAAACAGAAGAGCTGATAGAAGGTGTGAAGAGAGGCTAGAAGGGCATCCAGGCAGATATTGTAACTGAACTCTTTCAATCAGGATGGTCATTGTAAAACTCTGGATCCTCAAAACAGAAACTGTGGGGAACCTACCCTGTTCTCCTTCACCTCCTCCTACTCCCACTCCCCAAAAAAGGACTGTGGTTTGATCATGGAAAGCGAGTCAGGAGCTTCTGAAGTCTAATACTGACTTGAACACTCACCTCTGTGACTGAGCAAGTCACCTCGTTCTCTCCCTTTCTCTCTTGCCTCTCTGAAATAGGGGCAGCTCCAAATGCATGGGGTGATTTGTGACTGTTAATAGGTGCTTACAGAGTGCTTGAAAGCTCTGAAGTGCTAAGGGTTTTTCAGTTGTTTTCTACTCAGTGTTTTTTAATTACAATATGATACTCAACATTTGGGTTTTTTAATTGAAATCTTGATACTTCCTTTGATTTATTAATATTATTTTAAAATTAGATCTTTCATCACTATTCATCATTTTACTTGGCATAAAAAATGCAAATGTACATTAGTTTTGTACCTAGAAGATTTAGATACTATTAGAACAAGTATAATTTACACTGAAAACTGGTTGAACAAAAACACCATGTGAAATGAGTAGAACAATGTGCATTCATTCCACAAAATTATTTATATCAACTATACTACAATAGCAATATTTATCAGAGAGATTTGGAGCAAAGAGTCAGTACGAGCCACTCCTTCATGCCAAAGTCTCATGTGGCTGGGAACTGATTGTTCTTACAAAGCCACAGAAACCAAATACTGTAGCTATATTAACATATAGCCACATCTTGCTTAATGTAAATTTTTCCTCCTTTCTAAAGATGCATGGTGTGGTAAGGAACTACAAAATCTTCTGAATCTTGGGATATTCATAGAATCCTAGAATCCTTTAGGTGGAAGAGACCTTAAAGATCATCAAGTCCAACCATTAAGCCAACACTACTAAGTCCTCTGCTAAAACAGAAATCAGAGAACAGCTGAGCCCCAGAACTTCAGTAAGGTGACTGTTCCAAGTCTTGAACTCCTAGAACGTTTTCATGAAGTGCATTTACATTTTCTTTACTCTTGCTTCTTCTGAACTTGGTATCAAACAAAGCTTAACATAATTATTGGAAAATTCTTTCTTCCGAAAGAGACTAATTTGAATAATATACTACAAATAATACTAACAAACTGACTATGATCTCCCCGAGAATTATTTTGAAATGCATATTCTGAAACTGTACATGTTACATATGCATCATTAAACAATAACTCAGGAAAGCTGAAGCAGTAGTTAATTTTTTCCTGTCAAATAACTGAAGACACAAAGTAGCACACACAACAGAAGATAACAAATTGTGTTGTAGTCCAGACATGTAATGGACTCCTGTCGTCCAGGAAAAGGAGGAAAAGAAAGTTCTTCTGTCTCCTCGGGTCACTTACAGTAAAATGCAGAATGTTTATGGCTGTTTGGTCAATGTCTAGCTACATAGTCAGATGGACTGAGACTAAAAATGGGCCACACCACGCACTAGTTTGATACAGCATCTCGTTTAGCTTGCTGTAGAAGCTGTAGCTGCTGAGATGAACAGCAGTCCTGCAGGAAAAGGGAAGAGCAGCCTAACATTTATATACATTGAAAACTTGCTGTGCAGCCTTGTGAACCCTTTTCTTGGCAAAATATTTGAGAAATTCAGCCAAATGACTGAAACGGTTAAAAGCTTCTGCTAGTCCTCCTGCTTTTCCCCTGGACATTGATATCCTAAGAATAGGGACATCTGAAAAGCTTGACAACCAGCTTCTGGCTAGTTGCAGTTTAGAGATAGACAGATCTGGGCTATGTAAATGTGGACATCTTAATAACAGGGCAAGTTACTGCTGAAAGGAAGTAGCTGTTTCTGTCGTTTGATTTGAATCTGCCCTTCTTCTGGGATCAAAGTCTTAATTTCCTCATTTTTTTCATAAGGCATTAAGGTGTGCATTGGGCACGAAGGTGGAGGGTTGCCCTAGGGTGAGCTGCAGGAGCCTGCTCTGTCCACTGGAAGGGCCGAGCTCTGAGCGCTACCTTCCTGCCCTCTTCTCTGGGTAACTGCTAGTCACGGACAATGAAATAAATGTATTTACTGTTACTAACTAAGCAGCAGCGGATAAGGGAAGAAGCCCGCAGCCCGAGGCTGTGACGGTGGGTGGCAAGAGCCACCTCTTCAGGCGGGGCTGGGCCTGGGGGCTCGCAGGGGATCCCGGTGTGAGGACACGGCCAGGGTGGGCACGTAGGTGGACCGAGGGCCGCAGTGCTGAGGGAAGT